GAACACTAGAGGAAATCACAATAACCTCATGTACAAATAATAAATAAATGCAGCGCTAAAATAAAAATAAATATGAGGATAAAAGTTTGTTTAAAAGTTTGTGCAATCAGTAAAACTCATAGCACCAAATAAAAAATTCCCACAGCTGTAGATATCTCATAAAGGCTTGTGACAGGAAAATGGGAGAAATGCGCACTCACTGACCGCGCATAGGAAATGCGCATATAAGTATCAAACGGAGTGTAAAACGGCAGGTAGATGGTGAGGCATCCCGCAGGAGAAAAGGTCATCAAGCTTGGGTGAAGTAGTAGATCAGTTGGACTCAGAGGATTCCCTTAAGGATGTATGGGTGAACAACCTGGATACAGGGCTCCCTCCTCTGGATGTATGATAGAATGGAAGTTGTGCTGTGGATCTAATAGCCCCTCGATGGGGGGCCAAAAAGAAAGGAAGTGCCAATAGTGTAGTATTTTGGTACTTTATTGGATATATGGTAAAAAAAAAAAAGTAGTAATGTTTGTAGGGCATGAGTGATAATAACAATGCCAAGTGATGAAAAAAAGCAGAGTATTATACAAACCCTATAGTAAGATGGCTGCCGGACCTCCTCGTGGTCCTGGCGGCAATGACGTCACACGCTGTCAGCTCCTCCTTTTTTATTTGGTGCTATATATGAGTTTTACTGATTGCACAAACTTTTAAACAAACTTTTATCCTCATATTTATTTTTATTTTAGTGCTGCACTTCATTTATTTATTATTAGTGTCCTTAATTGCTTGCAGGCAGGGTGCACTGTTGGTGAATGAATGAAGGCTGGTCATTCTGTGTGGCCAGTGAAAAATGACTCATTCAGTCAGGGTTGACAAGCATGGTTTGGGATGTTTCGGTTCCCCATCTGGTCCCCTCTGATGGCCAGTATGAGGTTTCTGCTTGTGTATAATTTGAGAGGCAGAAATGGCTTCTCCCCCAGCTGTCAAAGTGGACCTGATGTGGAAGTGCAGCACCCAACCATGTGTACAAAGAGCACTAGCTCCACCCACATCATTGTTAGGGTGCAGATGACTGAAGTTTCCTACCATCCTTTGCCTTTGGTGATAGGATGCAGATGGCTCAAGCTGCAATAAAACATTTACATATTTGCCTATGGATCCAGACTTTTAGGACACCTTGTATAGATGCAGATAATGCCTGGTTTAGCAGGTAATGAGTCCCTGAGAGACGGATTACCAGGAGTCTGTTGCCCCACCAAAGACAGTTAGTTTGTGTGTGTGTACAGAGAGAGAATGTGCTTCAACAGGCAGCAGGAATGTACATCCCAAGCTGGACAACCCAGTGGCCATAAGATTTAATTGTTATGTTTTTATGTGTCAGTGCGATGCTTATGAACCCCTTGAAGTAAATGAACTTTTTGTTGCCTGCAATATGAGGTGCTTAAAAAAGGACATTGCAAGAGAGAAAATTGTGTGACTGGAGGGGATTATACCACCTGGGCAATACCCACAAGTGTCCAAACAGAATCTGAAAGCCTGAATCTGTAAGCCTGAGCCTACTGCTGTTAGCAACATTAATGAAATTAGACCAGCTGACTATTTAAAAAAGATGTTGACTTCTGATGATGATAAAGAGTTTCTAATTGTCTTTGAGATTGCTGTGAAAGAAGCATAGCCCAAAAGAGTGTTTTCCTGATTTATGACAACCCGTTTTTCTGGTAAAGTTTTAGGTAACCTATGTGATGGATCGAGGTCATGACAACTGTGACAAGCTTGAAGCCAAAATTCCTTCAGGGGAAAAGATGCAGCACGAATGAAAATCTTCAAACCTCTGATGAGGAATAGACAAGGTAAAAGAGAAGCAGCGCTTATGACAGGAAACACACCTTGAATGAAATAGTGGAATCCAAATGCAGGTGCTAAGACTCTGTAGTGTCCTCCAAACACTGGATACAATGCACAAAAATAGGAAGAACCGGCAACTCCGAAAACCATATGAAAACTTTATTGATTACATAGGAGTGACACAAAAGCACGCTGACACACTTCAGCAAGCAGCCTTGATCACAGCATAGTACTTAGTAAAAGGAACAAAACATATATATGCACACACATATATATATATAAATGTTTTGATACCTTACCTAAGCACTATGCACTATCTGAAAAGTGTGGTGTGCATTTGTATTCAGCTCCCTTTACTCTGATACTGCTAACTAAAATCTAGTGGAACCAATTGCATACTAAATACATAATTAGTAACTAGAGTCCACCTGTGTGTAATTTAATCTCAGTATAAATACAACTATTCTGTGAAGCCCTCAGAGGATGTTAGAGAACATAAGTGAACAAACATCATCATGAAGGCCAAGGAACACACCAGGCAGGTCATGGATAAGTTGTGGAGAAGTTTAAAGCAGGGTTAGGTTATAAAAAAATATCCCAAGCTTTGAAGCACTGTTCAATCCATCATTCGAAAATGGAAAGAGTATGGCACAACTGCAAACCTACCAAGACATGGCCTTCCACCTAAAATGACAGGCCGGGCAAGGAGAGCATTAATCAGAGAAGCAGCCAAGAGGCCCATGGTATCTCTGGGGGAGCTGCAGAGATCTACAGCTCAGGTGGGAGAATCTGTCCACAGGACAACTTTTAGTTGATAGGATCAATTTCTGTCTGTAGCCCAACCTTGTCCTCAGTTATTTTTACTTCTGGGTCCTGGAGAAATAAAGCTCCAGACACCAAAGTGTAAAAGCTGTATTTTTTAACGTTTAATGCAAGACAAGAACTGTTACACAGAATTACACAGAATTCGATAGGTGTTGCTTAATTCAGGATAACCAATGAAACATTCCGCTCTTATCAATATTGTTACGTGGAGGACAGAAACTACAAATGGCTGAGAAATACCATATAAGGTGAATCCGTTTACAGTGAAATAGAAACTATTCTCAGGAAACAAGAGAGAAGTTACAAGCAAAACTCAAAACAGAAACTGTTTACACATCTAGAAATGGAGGCATTACACAAAATGGATGCCAGTTGAAAAGACATATTTCCTTACAGTTCCTCTCTTTTGTCATGTGACAGCATACCAAATTTCACAGTTGCTGTTTCCAATATACACATGCAAAGTTTAGCAACAACATAGAACACAAATATTAGTAAAAGACATAACAAAATCAGCATTCCCACTTTATTAAACCATCCAAAAAAAATCTCTAAAACTTCCCAACCCTTTAACCTCCCTGGTGGTATTCCCGAGTGTAGCTCGGGGTAAAGTTTCAGTACCAAAAGCAGTAACCCCGAGCTACACTCGGGCTTACCATGCGGCGTTGCTCAGGGATTCCCTGCAGCGCTTACCTTGTCCTTAGCTCCCGTGATGTGTCCCCTGCAGCGTCCCCGGCCATCTCCTCCGGCCAATTCCAGCATCCGGTCCCTGTGACGTCGCGGCAAATTTGAAAGTTTTAAAAAATTTCATTTTTTTAAAAACAATTATTACATAGTAAAACATTGCTGTTTCAAAGCATTTCACATACATTTTGTCCCTACTACTTTGTCCTGTGCCCTGCCTGCATTTTGACTGTTCTTTCTGCCTGGAAACTGGGAAAAGTCCATGGCATCCAAAAAGCGTCCCTTTAGGTCAAAATCGGTTTTAGACCAGCTAGAGAACAGCGATAGTAAATCAGAACCACTTGCAGAATTGAGTGATAATGATTTGTGGGGAAATTCGTCATCAGACACTGAAAACGATTCTGCGACTTTGCTCAGCGATGTGTGAACTTGGCGCTATATTTCAAATTTCAGTGTTTTTGGTTTGATTATATTATTTAATTAAATTTATTAATATTATATCATTATTTTTTTTATGATTATTTATTAAATTATAATTTATGATTTTGTGTTTCAAGTTTTATCATATCCGGAATGTTTACTAGACTCTTGTTTCAGTGAGTTATTCCTAAAAATGACAGGCCTACAATAAAAAAACTACATATTTCCATGCAAAATAATGGTACCGCTTTCAGCACCAAAAATCTGAAATAATCATACTGCCAGGGAGGTTAAAAGGGTTCCAGCCATCCTCAGCTATGGATCGAGCTCGAGCTTGTAACACCTGTTTCCTCAATGCAACATTCAAATTCAACATTCAAAAGACCCCCTCTAGTTATGTTTCCTATACATTTGTTTTCTTCTTCATCTATTCTTAGTGGTATGTACTTGTACAAAATTACCATCCTCAGGTACCTTCCCAGTAACATTAAGTTTAGACTTGCTACGAAATTCTTTCCCTTCATTTGATTTGTTGCCTAAATGAAAACACCATTCAGATTCCATCATAACTCCTAACACTTCAGATTTAGATCTTCTAGTAACATTTGTAAGGATAATACTCAGATTACCAATAAACAATGATGTCACATTTTGTGGAGCAGCATACAAAGGAATGTGCATGTTTTAAGAGTGGAGCATACTGCAAACCCAACATCCCTTGAATCCCGAGAGCTTGGCATACCTGTACTTAAATTTCAACAGTGACATATTTTCAGTCAATTATTTTGACTCCTTTTTTATTTTTTCAGTGTCATTCACAGTCTCACTGTTGTGTCTACAAATTGGAGACCATTCTTCTAAGTGATAGCAGTAGCTAGCCCAGTAAGTCACTGAAAAACGTATCACTGAGAGACAACCGATCAAAAGAAAGTTCTTTCAGGCCATCTCTGGATGAAACCGCATCCTAAAGGTTGGAGGGCATTGATAGACCTGTCTCCTTTCCTTATATCATTTGTTGCTTCTGGTTCTTTGGTGGTTCCAGGATCCTCTTTACTCTAGAAGCATGTATCCAGATGTTGGAATCAGCAGTCAGAACAGTGGTTCTTGTCACAGCCGTCACTATAGTGAGTTCCCTGTACCATAGATCTATGGTTTTGTGTATATGAAGCTCCTTAACCACTACCCAATCTCCTGGCTTGTATGGGTGGGTTGGATCAGGGGTGGACTGACAACTCATGGGGCCCCCGGGCAATAGGGAATCATGGGGCCCCTGTGTCCTCGCCCACACTCAAACCACACCCAAAAAAGCCTATGAAAGGTACCAGGGGCATCTCATGGGGCCCCCTACTGACCCTGGGCCCTTGGGCAGTGCCCGAGTTCCCAAATGGTGAGTCCACCCCTGGGTTGGTTCATCTATGGAAAAAGGAAACGAGAGAGACATCACCGTATACACCATTCGACACCCTAATAAATTCCTACATATATCTTTCCTTGATTAATTCTAAATCACCTGGCATAACTACGAAAGGGCCTCTTTCCCAGGGGGTGGGAATGGCCTGCCCATAAGAATTTAAAAATGGGAAAGTTTAGTGACTTTATTAGGTGTCGTCCTCATCTCAGCCAGAACAGCTGGCAGGTACACCTCTGATCCCTTAAATGCCCCACCTGTTGCCTTCCTTAGTTTTTCTTTCAGGGTCCTATTTGCCCATTCTACCTGAGCAGAACTCTGTGGGTGGTAGGGTATGTGGAACTTCCAGTCAATGCTCATCAGTTTGGCTACCTGTTGTGTAACCTTTGAGGTAAATGCTGGTCCTATGTCCAAGTTTGTACTTACCAAACATCCCCATCGAGGGATGACTTCCTTTTCAAAAAATCTTTTCTTTATTTCATCTCTCACTACCTACCAACCCTGATGTCCTATGCCATGGAACTATGCACTGTGATGTGGGAGTCCTATTATACCTCCCTTTGACATTAGACCAATTTCGTCTAATGTCAACCCTTTTTGTCAACCCTTCCCTAACAATAAATTTAGCATAGCTAAGGAACCTGCATATTTCACTTTCAAATTAGCAGTTGATATCAAAATAACTTCATAACCACTTGCCCTTTGTGCTGTCAGGTGCTACGTAGTGAGGTTCTTAAGGACATGCAGCACATTATGGACAGTGAGCTCACATATACTATATTTATTTCATCTGTGTACTTACCCTATTGTCTAGAACTTAGCTTTTCATTTTTTTAACTTTCAACCTACATACAATACTTGTTGCTTTATTTTCTCAACTATATTTAATTACCTATTTTCTTCCTTCTCCATTAGCTTTATGTGTCCTTCTGGCCTTGAACATTTATAACCTGCCTCCATCGGTGATCGGTATGCACAAATGTGTGTATATATATATATATATATATATATATACAAAATGGTACCTGGAATGTACTAAATCGGATTGTGGCTGCCAGTACTTCCAAGTGCAGCTTCCAGCAGCCCCAGGAAATAAGAGTATGCAGGGAAATTTGATGCCTTTTTCCTTTTAGCCTTGTCAATTCGAAGTAATTTGTAGATACAAAATCATATAAAGAATTACATTGGTAAAAGCCTGAAGTCATTTTAAAACACGGTATACATCTAAATGGAACATATGAATGCGTAGGAAGCATTTTTTTTTTCCTTGGGGTAAAAAGGAGAATTTCAATGTAAAGGGAATCTATAGTCTTTTTAATGGTATGCTTCAATCAAAATTGAAAACTAAATCTTGAGATGCAGGTAGCAAGCATAGCCTGCTGCTCGATACTAAAAGTGGTTTTAAACCCGAAACCAAAAATGTTATATATTGTCGCATACCAGACATTAGATGTTAATGACTGCATTCGTTTTCTTTTTTTGTAGGCTTTTTTACCCCTGTACAGCAACAGTGTTAGTCTTGGGGGAGGGGAGTATTAGATGCACTAACAAATTTAGACACAAATTGAAGCCAAACTCCTGGCAGTTAGTAAGCAGTTACAGCTACAGTATTTTTTTCCTTTTGGAATAAAGTTTTTTTTTTATAAATAAAAAGCTGATCATTGTAAGCATCCCCTGACAGTGGTAAACTGTTTGTATTATCCCTGTCACTGCTACATCTTCAGAGCAGCTTGTCCTTTTGAAAAACAATAGACTTATTGGCTGGATCACCAGGTGGAAATAAAGGAAAGAAAGCTTAAAAAAGGAAACTAGATAGAAATAGAGACGTTACAGCTGTGAATTGGTAAGCTGCAATATAAGAAAAGTTTGCTTATGGGTTTAATACTGCTTTAACCTGCGTCTGCCCACAGTACATTTACTGCGGGCAGGTGGCATGTAAAGGCAAAGTATTGTACCCGTACCTCATTTTGTCTGTACAGACTCAGTGCCCCCCCCCCCCCCACTACCACGCCGATACTTGGGGCCCGATGATCATGTGATCGCAATGTCAACAAAGCTGTTATGAATCAATATGAATATGTGAATAATATGAACCATAACAGCATTGCTTCCTTACTAGTGAGCTGTGATTGGCCCACAACTATCACATGGTGCCTGGGTCAATCAGAGCACTCTGTACCATGTTATTAGCTGATCACAGACCACTAGTATTCACAGCTGTCATGAACTGAACCCATTCATGGCAGTTCCAAGCATTGCTGGCACAATGATTTTCATTGTACCAGCAATCAAAGTATGAAAAAAATCCCTGATCACCCCCCCCCCCCCCCCCTCCAGAGTAGTACAATGTTACTATGGTAACATTGAACTACTTTGATGAAAGTATTTTAACCTCTTTACAAACATAGCCATATGTTAAAAAAACAATGAAATGATGGGTGTTTTTTTCTGTATTACTGTTTATAAAAAGCAGTGTAGAGAACACCCTCAGTGGACAGCGCGCCCTTAAATGGTTGTGATCTGAGCCATCTTCGAATAGCTCAGTTCATAGAGTGTATAGAGCTAATCCAAACAGATCTGTGCCTTGTGATCTCTGTGATGACCAGTCACAGTGATCACAAATGTAAACACACTAGTGTTTACATTTGAAAGACCTCCCCTTCTGCTTACAATTGAGGAAAGGGAGGAAGAAGAAATGAATCATTCATTCATTAGTAGAAGATCACAGACAGCAGCAGCTATTCAAGGTATTAATTTGATTGTGAGATTGTTTTTAACACTTTTACCACCTTCTTTCTTTATAGCCCAGGTTCATCCTGCCTCTGCAGGGACTGTATATTAACACCTTCATCTCCCTTATCCTGCATATTACCCCCTCATCTTCATCCTCCTACTGTATTTGACCTGTACATTAACCCCTTCACTGCCTGTGTATAACCAATACATTTAATGATGTGTTGTTTCCACTATCATTACTATGCTTCATGTTTTAACCCCCTCAATACCAGCAGGTTTCTTCATTTTCAAAGCATTATGGCAAACAAATTACATTTTGGGGTGTCTGCTTTGCAGAAAGGGGTCTTTGTTGTACTGTTCCAGCATTTCATTATGTTTTATAACATAAGGTAAGGAAAAAATTTTTTTTCCAAAATGTTTGGCCTTTTTCTATTATATAGAAAGAAATGGAAAAAAAACTGCCTGAAGTAGTTTAGTGTTTGCTTACACGTTTGACAAAAGATGATTTCTGACCAGGGGCGGACTGACAACTCATGGGCCCCTGGGCAATAGGGGATCATGGGGCCCCTGTGTCCTTGCACAAACTCAAAAAAGCCTATGAAAAAGGTACCAGGGACATCTCATGGGGTCCCCTACTGACCCTGGGACTGGGGCAGTACCCAAGTTTCCAAATGGTCAGTCTGCCCCTGCTTCTGACTGACTGCTATTACTGTAGTTTGTACTTGTTTTTTTTTTAATGAATAAGCCCAACATTTTTTTTTCAGGCCTCATTCACATCGCTTATAGCTTTTATTGTTTACGGATGTCTAGGAATAAAAAAAAAAATACAACAGTATTAAACAGTATTAACAGTTGACCTATATTCAATAGTTAGAATCAAAGTAAACTTTTGAAACTGATTTTAGATATTTTGCTAATTCAGATTTTTGTGGTTTTGATCACTTGATGATCATAACTCAGCACAACATGCAGTAGCCGTATAATAGTATTCAGCAGCTACAAAACATATAATTGCAGAATTTATTTTTATGACAGGCATTTAATACTCCTAAACCTAATCCTTTCAATTTTCTTTTTCTTTTGTTTTATTTTCTTTTAGTTTTTGGATACAGTGGAGACCAATTAAAATATTTGCCATTTTTTTTTTAATTCTGTCTGTGGCCCCCTTATTAGGAAGATTTTCTCTCACTTCCTGCTCCTCTGACATCAGTGCAAGACATGGGGGAAGTGGTTTACAATGTGATGCCCAGCAACATCAGAAACAAAAAGCATTGGAGAGCTGTCCTATTGCCTCCTGTACAGACAGTAAGTGAAGGAAGAGACAGGGATGGCAATATAAATCCGACAAAAGCTCTAACCCTACCCTACTCTATCTGAAGCAAAAAAAAATTTTGGAGTAGGGCTTTAATTCTTCCTGCAGCAAGAATTATGTAAGAATAATGTAAATATTTCGGGATTGATACATTAAAAACAAAATGCTGTTTATAGAGATTATAGTCACTGAAATTCATTTACTTTTATTGCCTCAAAACCTGAAATTTCAAATCACTGCAAGAAAGTCAAGAAAACAATATACTATGAAGGATAGTAGAATTTTTCTAAAATGAATATACATTCCTGGCCACTTTATTGGGTACTCCTGTTCAATTGCTTGGTAAGACAAATTTCTAATCAGACAGTCACACGGCAGCAATCTAATGCATTTAGACATGTAGACGTGGTGAAGACAACTTGCAGAAGTTCAAACCGAACATCAGAATGAGGAAGAAAGGGGAATTAAGTGACTTTGAATGTGGCATGGTTGTTGGTGCCAGACAGGCTGGTCTGAGTATTTCACAAACTGCTGATCTACTGGGATTTTCACGCACAACCATCTCTAAGGTTTACAGAGAATGGTTTGAAAAAATAAAAAATATCCAGTGAGCGGCAGTTGTGTGGATGAAAATGCCTTGTTGATGTCATAGGAGAATGGGCAGACTGGTTGCTGCGACATTCAGATGGTAGGGTCAGAATTTGGCGTAAACAACATGAAAGCATGGATCCATCCTGCCTTGTATCAACGGTCAGGCTGGTGGTGGTGTGATGGTGTGGGGGAGATTTTCTTGGCAAAATGTAACTAATACAGTGGCCAGTGAGTATATATTTGAATGAAAGGGATTTTTCAAGGCCGCTAGTGCAGCGGGCATATAGTTTAGTCACCACACCCATTGGCATCTATAATCTTTTGTGGCATGTAATAACTGAATGAATAAATTAAACACAGTCTTTAGAAATCAATCACATTTTAACTAACAACTGACAAGGATTATTGTTGAACTAGCAAAGTTATTCAGTTATGGCTAATATTAACCACTTCAGCTTTTGGATCAGTAGACCCCTTCCCTTATGGAGCAGAGCATTTTTCACCTTTCAGCTATGGAGCTATTGAATTGGAACTATCTTCTTAATTACTTTACAAAAAAAACTTTCTTTTGGAAAAAAATAATTTATTTTCTATGCAATCCAAACCAACAAAGCTAAAGTAATGTGCTTCTTTCTGCTTTGTCCAGTGTTAGTTTTAAAACAACTGGTGTTACTGTAAATAAAAAGAATACATTTATTTTATAATTTGTGCCACTTATAGCAACCTTAAAATTATGATTAAATATGATACAAAAAAAGAACTTAAGGCAGTATTATGCCCAAAATTAAAAATGTCATATATTGCATCTGACCAATCATTAGATGTGGTGGCTGCATTAGTTTTCTTTTTACCCTCTGTTTTCACCTGGTAATCTGACTAGTAATACACCTCCTGTATTGGAGTGCCTACACTTGGGATGAAGGAGCACAGGGAGCACATTTGGACAGCAGCATTTTTAATCTGTGGGGAGGGGAATGTTCTAACATCCTACCAGATTTAAATAAACTAACAACTGGAAGCCAGATTCCAGCCCATACTTCATAAGCAGTTGCAGCAACAATTTATTTCCTTTTGGGATAAAGATTTTACATAAATAAATGAAAGCTGATAATTGTAAGCACACCTGCTAGTGGTAAATGGTTTGTCTCATTCCTTTAACTGCTACATCTGCAGAGCAGCTTGTTCTTTTGAAAAACAACAGACTTACTGGTCAGATCACTGGAGTGAAAATAAAGAAAGGAAAGCCTAAAAAATAAAACTAATGCAGCCACTTCTCTGCTGAGAGCCTGGACCAGCCAATCCTCCTCCCCCCCCCCCACCCCCTCACCCTAGCGCTCCAGTGAGAGCTGGAGGGGCAGAGCACAAAGCCAGGGACTGATAGTCACCAGCTTTCTGCTCATGGAACACTGAGAACTGAGTGATCAGCTGTCTTCGAATGCTCACTTCCCAGCCATAGAGCTGGCATGGGACAGATGTAGCATTGGATCAATGCTGCATCCACCTAGATAAGTATAATTGTTTTTGTTAACCCATACTTCTCTTTTAATGTTGCAATTCTGATTTCATGAAATCAATAAATTGTTATCTTTTTAACTTCATTTGTTCATGCTACCTAAAAAAGTCCCATGATAAATTTTGTTTGTACATAAAGAAAAGCTGATCATTGTAAGCACCGCCTGTCATTAGTAAATAGGTTGTATCATCCGGGCAAACGTGTTCTTTTGAAAAACAACAGACTTGTTGGCTGAATCACCAGGTGAAATAAAGGCTTAAAAGCAGGAAATGTTATGTATTTCTTTTCTTACTGGTAGACTTGCTTTAACTGACATCATATGCAGAGGAAAAGTAAATACAGTGTAACAATAATGTTGCATAGAATTTTTGAATGATGCTTCTGTACAGTGTTTACAAAACCTTTGTCAGAAGCTCAGTTTTTCACAGCAGTGACTGCAGCCAATCTTGATAGTCTGCTGTAATTTGCAACAAGTCCTGGTTGTCATTCTGACATCTGGAAATTACTACCAAAAGTGGCAAGGGGGATGGGAGCAGGGGGAATAGAGACAGGGCATACTACATACTGTATGTCTAGTTTACTATAGTTTTTTTTTCTTTCAACCACTTGCGTGTGGTCACCTACAAATGAGTAGAAATAAGGGAAGTTGAAGGGGAAAAGGGTCTATCAGTGAAGTAGCCTACAATAATCAACCAATAAAAAAAAGGAAGTTTTTTATGTATTGTAAAAAGCACACATAAGGTTCTCAAGATGTTAAAGTGGTTGTAAAGCAGGGGTGGACTTACCATCTGGAAACTTGGGCACTGCCCGAGGGCCTGGGGTCAGTAGGGGGCCCCATGAGATGCCCCTGGCACCTTTTTCATAGGCTTTTTTGAGTTTGGGCAAGGACACAGGGGCCCCATGATCCACTATTGCCCGGGGGCCCCATGAGTTGTCAGTCCGCCCCTGTTGTAAAGTATATATTTTTAAAAATAACAAACATTTTACTACTTACCTGCTCTGTGCAACAGAATTACACAGAGAAACCCCAATCCCCTTCTTTTGGGGTCCCCTGTCAGTGCTCCTGGCTCCTCCTCTTTTCGGTGTCCCACCATAGGAAGTCACTTTCTATTGTGACACACCTGCAGGTTCGATACTGAGCCATGCTGCTTGTATCCATAGACACAGACAGTGCGGCTTGGCCCCGCCCTCATTTCCTTGTCACAGGATTTGACTGACATTAGCCGGAGCCAATGGCTCTCACTACCTCAGCAAAGCCTGTGAAAGCAGAGAAAGATGCTACAGACAGGCATAGTGTTGGATCGAATGAGGGCTCATGAAAGTATAAAGGGGGGCAATATTAATACCAGGTATTAATACCAGGGGCGGACTGACCATTTGGAAACTTGGGCACTGCCCGAGGGCCCGAGGTCAGTAGGGGGCCCCATGAGATGCCCTGGTAACTTTTTCATAGGCTTTTTTGAGTTTGGGCAAGGACACAGGGGCCCCATGATCCCCTATTGCCCGGGGGCCCCATGAGTTGTCAGTCTGCCCCTGACTAATACCTAAACATTTTTTACCCTAACGCAGGGAATGCACTAAGGTGAAAAATAGTTAGGCTTTAGAACCACTTTACTATGCAACTAAAATGAAAAAGCGACACATTGCGTAGAAATGATGGTGTAATGGAAAATATAGAAATAGTTTTTGGGATAAATTAGATGTTTACTCCAGAACCTGGAATTTGTTGCCATAAAAGTTAAAAAAAATAAAAACAAAAAAACATTGCCCTACATACCCTGACCCCTAACATTAACCTAACCCTCAGACTAACATTAACACTTAAAGCAGAACTTTACTCTCTCACCATTAATTATTTTTAATGCTTATGCTACTAGCTTTAGTAAAGAAATAGGAAGGTATATTATAATCACTAATTTTAAACTTTTTTTAACCACTTACCCTCCAGAGGATTTACCCCCCTTCCTCTGACCAGGCCATTTTTTATGATATGGCACTGCGTTAATTTAACTGACAATTGCGCGGTCATGCAACGCAGCACCCAAATGAAATTTATGTCCTTTTTTCCCACAAATAGAGCTTTCTCCTGGTGGTATTTGAGCACCTCTGTGGTTTTTATTTTTTGCGCTATAAACAAAAAACAAACGACATTTTGAAAAAAGAAAAAATATTTTTGACTTAAACAAGAGTTCCATATTGTGTTGTGGTCCAGTATCAGGGGTACATTATTAACCTCTTGCCCTCCTGAAGATTTATCCCCCTTCCTGACCAGGC